CCACCTTAGGTGTACGTGGCTGGCGTCTTAGCCGGTTGAGCCATAGGCGCCGAGCCCATTAGAAGATTTCTAATACAAACTAATAAAATGGTACTGCCAATGTGCCCTCTAGGATTATTGCCAATTTTTCAAAAGGCCTAGGTAAGGAAAATATGGTACATTTTATTTTTGACGAGACAGCACAGACTAATCAAATCAGAATCACCAATTCCACATCACTTCTTTAGTTATTGACACCTGCTGAACAGAAGCTAACTGGCTGTCAGGTTTTGGATCAGTATGAAACGAGAAAATGAATCAGTAACTTAAAACCTATAAACTTCTGTCCAGGGACCAAAATATTTCAAACCTTGTGGCCTTTAAGGGGTCCTAGTAGTAGTGAAAGCATTGAGAACGACTGACGCCCCCAACCCCCAGCATCTGGCATGGGTCCAGGACAGAATCTACAGATTGGACACCGAGGTCCAGCTAGCATGTGCACTCCCAAGTCTCCTCAAAGTCCAGGCTACGTCCCCACGTTAGTGCCATCCGGCCTTGTCCCGGGCCGCCTACCTACAACGCTGCCTTTGCAGCATAGCTGCACTAAGGCGGAGGAGACCCTGCTGAGAGCTGTAGGCCGCTGCGCATGCTCTGTCCTGCTCGTTCACCGCCGAGGCCCCGCCCTCCCCGGCTGCAGTCCTGGAGCGGTTGGGATTTGAATCTCCGGCGGGCTGCGGCCGGAAGTGTCGGTCCATTAGCTCGGCATGGAGAATCTCGGACTCCATGCACGGTGCCCAGTGCAAGAGCAGCGTGCCCGCTGGGAGCGGAAACGCGCCTGCACCGTCCGGGAACTGCTGGAGACTGAGCAGCGCTACCAGGAACAGCTGGGTCTTGTGGCCACGGTGGGGGCCTCTATGAGGAAGGGACACCAGGGATATGGGAGGGTCTTTGTTAGGTTGGTGACCCCTACTATGGTGGTCTATCACTATAGTGATACAGAAGCTATCCTCCTGTATGGGCGTTAGCCTCCTGCAGGGTAAGATACCAATATTTTCTCCTTCCGCAGTACTTCTTGGGGATCCTGAAAGCCAAGGGGACCCTGCGACCACCAGAGCGCCAGGCCCTATTTGGGTCCTGGGAGCTCATCTACGATGCTAGCCAGTGAGTGGAAGAGGCGCGGGGAGAGGGAAGGAGGGACCGCCCTGGCCACTGGCGGTGCACTCAGTGGAGTCAGACTCAGTCTTATAACGGGAGCCTGTCAATTACCTCACCTTTGGTCTTGGCCCAGTGCCTTAACCTTCGGCAGCTTTGCATCTGTATAATGGGGTAGTAACACTACCACCTCCGGGGTAGTGCTATTCTCACAAGAGGATTAAATGAGGTGGTGCTTGAGAAATTCTTGGGCTGCCCCTTTACTGCCTTGCCCCACAGACAGCTGCTTCCCTACCTGGAGGGAGGATACTGGGGCCCTGGGCTGGAGGGCTTCTGCCGCCACCTGGAGCTCTACACCCAATTTGCTGCCAACGCAGATCGGTCCCAGGCCACCCTGCAGGTAACCTGGAGATGGTCTCAAATCTGTCCCCTTTTCTCTCTTGCCCCTTACATTTCCTCTTCATCTGGGGACCTAAACTTCATTCAGACATTTCCTGCACTTACAGAGCCCACTGGGTGCTCAGCTCTGTGCTAAGTTTCCCTGTAGGGGGACAAGGTTTCTCTCAGCTTACTGAAGGCTGGGAACCTGCACTCAGATGAATACAAGAGAAGTGGCTTCTCTCCCTGCTGCCAACACTTTCCTCCACCAGGAGCAACTAAAGAAAAACAAATGTTTCCGGAGGTTCGTTAGGCTTCAGGAAAGCCGCCCTGAGTTTAGGGGCCTTCAGCTCCAGGACCTGCTCTCTCTGCCTCTGCAGCGGCTCCAGCAGTGAGTGAACTCACTTTGATCTAAACCAGTGGTTCTCAACCTTCCTAATGCCACCACCCTTTAACACAGTTCCTCATGTTGTGGTGACCCACAACCATAAAATTATTTTCGTTGCTACTTCATAACTGTAATTTTGCTACTGTTATGAATTGTAATGTAAATATCTGATATACAGGATGTATTTTCATTGTTACAAAGGGGTCAAAGGGGTCATGACCCACAGGTTGAGAACCACTGAAAACCAACCTATCTGCATCTTTGTGAATGCTGCCCTCAGTTTTTTTTTTTGAGACAGAGTCTCACATTGTTGCCCTCAGTTGAGTGCTATGGTGTCACAGCTCACAGCAACCCTCCTAAGTAGCTGAGACTACAGGCTCCTGTCATAATGCCTGGCTATTTTTAGAGATGAGGTCTCACTCTACCTCAGGCTGGTCTCAAACTTGTGAGCTCAGGCAATCCACCTGCCTTGGCCTCCCAGAGTGCTAGGATCACAGGCATCGGCCACCATCCCCAGTCTGCCCTTGGATTTGTGGGATGCCTTGGGGTCTACCCAAGTCCCCTGCCTCTCCCTTGGGCCAAAGTGCTTCTAAAAACCTTTTGCAAAGGTAGATGTGAACCCACTGGAGTACCCAGGGTTTGCAACCTGGGCTCTTAGCTAGGACTGTGGAACTAACTGTACATTCAAGTGATGCAGCCTGTATTAGGGTCTCAGACAGGGTATTTGGAAAAGTTTGTTGAGATGAGGGGCTGCCCTACCTTAGAATTTCTGTCTCTGGGTTAAGCCTGAGTTAAGTGCTTGTAGTCAGGTTGTCTATAGTATCCTCCTTGACTTTCACCTTTCCATCTGTTCTCCCAAACTATAGTCAGTCTCCCATTGACTTTTTTTTTTTTTTTTTTAATACGGAGCCTCAAGCTATCCCCCTGGGTAGAGTGCCATGGCATCACAGCTCATAGCAACCTCCAACTCCTGGGCTCAAGCGAGTCTCCTGCCTCAGCCTCCCAAGTAGCTGGGACTACAGGTGCCTGCCACAACGTCCGGCCATTTTTTGGTTGCAGCCATCATTGTTGTTTGGCAGGCCCGGGCTGAGGATTCGAACCCGTCACCTTAGGTGCATGTGGCTGGCGCCTTAGCCGCTTGAGCCACAGGCGCCGAGCCTCTCCCATTAACTCTTAAATGTAGAGTGTAAGAGGGCTATGTGGTGTGAGTCTAGGCTCTGAGTCCCAGGTGAAACGTACAACAGCACATAAGCAGATCTTTCTTGGCCTTACAAGTGAAGTATGTGTAGGGAAGATCTTTGCCAGATGGAGGCAATTTTGCCTGCTCTACACCTCCTCTAATCATAGACTTCCCATTGTACATTCCAGGTATGAGAATCTCGTCGTTGCTTTGGCTGAAAACACAGGTCCTAACAGCCCTGATTACAAGCAGCTCACACGTAAGTCCTTGCTCCTCTGCAGCTCAGGCAGGCTTCCTCTCCTTTCTAATTCTGACATCCAACAATGTCTGGTCTGTCCTATCGTCCATTGACACGTATACAGTGTCCCTATTGCCCTGCCTTTTCTTCAAGAAGTTAGACCCAGGGCGGCACCCGTAGCTCATTGGGTAGGGCACTGGCCACATACAATGAGGCTGGTGGGTACAAACCTGGCCTGGGGCCAGCTAAAACGACGACAATTGCAACAACAACAAAAATAGCCAGGTGTAATGGTGGGCACCTGTAGTCCCAGCTACTTGGGAGGTTGAGGTAAGAGAATCACCTAAGCCTAAGAGTTTGAGGTTGCTGTGAGCTGGGATGCCACGGCACTCTACCCAGGGTGACAGCTTGAGACTCTCAAAAAAAAAAAAAAAAAAGTTAGACCTAGAAAAGCATTTCACCACCACCAGTAACCCAAAGTAAATGTTGTGGGAGAGTGAGGCAGGGGATGTTATTCCAGGGGCTGCCCGGCTGATAAGTGAGACGGCCCAGAGAGTACACACCATTGATCAGAAACAGAAGAATGACCAGCACCTCCGCCGGGTCCAGGCTCTGCTCAGTGGACGCCAGGCAAAGGGGCTTACTTCAGGTAGTCTGCATACTTCTCTGCCGTACTCAGCTGCCCCTTTCTTACCACTCTTCCTCTACAGAGCCAGCACATATTCCCTATTCCCTCAGCCTCCCTTTCCTTCTATTCCATGGGTCCTGGGGCTGCACCAGAGTAATAGTTCTCTCAACCCCCAGGGCGCTGGTTCCTACGCCAGGGCTGGCTACTGGTGGTGCCTCCCCATGGGGAGCCTCGGCCCCGCATGTTCTTTCTCTTCTCTGATGCGCTCCTCATGGCCAAGCCGCGACCTCCATTGCACCTGCTGCAGAGTGGCACCTTTGCCTGCAAGGCCCTCTACCCCATGGCCCAATGTCAACTCCACAAAGTGTTTGGCCACTCAGGAGGTCCTTGTGGTGGATTGCTCAGTGTAAGTAATAGGTGGAAAGCCTAGGCTGAGAATATTGCTCAAATTCTTATAGACCAGCTTATCTCATCACCCTTAGGTCCCTTTTTCTAGGGACAGAACTGTCTGCGCTGAAAGAGGATAGCTGGGGCTTGGTTTCCTGTATAGTTCTCGTCTCATCCCTGAATTACCTCCATGGAAATAGCAAGGGCTTCAGATTTAACCTGGACCTTTCTGAGCCATGCTTTAAGAGGTGGTCTCTCCTTAGCTGTCCTTCCCTCATGAGAAGCTACTGCTCATGTCCACAGACCAGGAGGAGTTGTCATGCTGGTACCACAGTCTGACTTTGGCTATCAGGTAAGTTTTTTTGGGGGGGGTGGGGGGGAGTTTGCAGTTTTTGGCCAGAGCTGGGTTTGAACCCACCACCTCCGGCATATGTGGCTGGCGCCTTACTCCTTTGAGCCACAGGCGCCACCCTGAGCCACAGGCACCACCCGGCTATTAGGTAAGTTTAGCCTTCCTGCAGAACAGTGCTGTGATGAGGCCCATAAGCTGGAAATGAATAGTTCTGATCCTATTTCAGTTCTACATCTGTCTGGGACCCCCTCCCCCGACCAACCCCATGGGTGATCTTGTCTGAATAGAGTGCTCATGCCTGTGCCTTGTGCCTGGACTGACTGTCTTCCTTCCACAGCAGCCAGAAGAACTAGCGGAATCTTACAAATTCCAGAACTCAAGATACTTCAGGGATAATAGATCAGAGCCAGGGATACAGAGGAACCTTCTTCAGCACTAAACAAAATACAGGACCCTTCATGGTTTGACATAGGTCATTTTGTATTTTTCTGGGATCAAGCTCCTCTGGGTCATTTGAGCAGCTCCTAAGAATCCGGAAACCAAGTCTGACCCAACTAAACCTTTGCTGAACCAGTCCCTAACACAAATGAGGGAATATGGAGTGGATAAGCTCAGTGCTGTGTCTATAGCCAGTTGTTTATCAAAGTTGCAGCTTTGTAAATGTGGCTATTTTTATGTTGTGTTTCTATAGATTATTTTCTACTGGATCTTAGTAAAGTGTTTTTTTCCTTGGAAAAATCTGTCTCAGCTTTACTATTAGTAAAGGGATTTTCAAGCCCTGAAGACTGGCATGCTGGTGGCCTCAGGAGTATAAGAAAAAGAACTGGAGCTCCCTCTGTCTTCTCTGCTCTCACAGTGGAAGGCAGCCTCTTTTTGTCCTAATAAGGGAAGCTTCTCAAGAAGGCCCAGTTGTCCTTAGGCACCTAGTATGGGTGTATACAACCAGCGAGGATGGAAAAAGCACATAGGAGCACCCAGTCACAAAAACAAACTTTGTTTTACTAAACCCTCAGCTATTGTCTCACCTTCCCAACAGGGGCTGTGACTGGGGCCCCTTGCTGCAGCCCTGCTGCATCTTCTCCTTAGTCCCTGCTCCACCCCCAAGGAAGTATCTGGGTTCCATGTCTCTGTGCTCCAATTTATGGTCTCCTCCTCCTCCTCCTCTAGGAAGTCCTCAGGAAAGGGTATGCTGGCTTCTGTGAGGGGAAAGATCAAGTATGTTCCAGTTTTAGAGACTTTGTCTCCATGCCCACCAGACTCACCTCTCAACCCTGTACCTGGTTCTGGAACCTCCATGCCCTTGCCTTGCTTGTTATCTTGTAGCAGCTGGTGGATGGTCCATAGCTTCATGTTCAGAAGCTCCTGCTGGGCTCCAGCAAGAGTAGTCACACTGCAGAAATATCCACTCAAGGGCTACCCAATCTATGTCCCCATTCCTCCCCCTGCCTCAACCTCCCCACAAATTAATTGCTCTCCTCACCGCTCAAAAAGGGGGTCTAGCTGGGCCATCAGATTGTTCAGGTGCTGCTCTGTCTGGGCCACTTGTTGTGTCAGCTGAGCCAGCTGTTGCTCTGGAGGTAAGGGAGAAAAAAGAGACATTGGTTACTTTCTTGTACTGTCCCTGATCCCCCCACCAAGCACAGATGTCTGCTAGACCCACCTAACTGCAGTGATTGCTTCTTGCCTGCCTCCTCTTGGAGAACTGTGGCCTCATCTTTCCCCTGTTGTGGGAGAAGGAAACAGTAATACTACAGCAACAAGGTTTTGCTCCATCACCTCAGTCTTCAAAGCCAGGAAGGGGAGGAGCATAATTTAGGGTTGAGAAAACTATTGGTTTTTACCTCAGAATCACAATCACCTCTAATCTAGTTCCTCACCTAGGATATGAAACAACTTGTCAATATGTATCACACATAGTCATTCAATCTGCTGAAACATTTTTTTTTTTTAAACAGAGCCTCAAGCTGTTCCCCTGGGTAGAGCGCTGTAGCATCCAAGCTCACAGCAACTTCCAACTCCTGGGCTCAAGCGAGTCTCCTGCCTCAGCCTCCCAAGTAGCTGGGACCACAGGCGCCTGCCACAACGCCTGGC